TATTTAGAACTATCTATTAGAGATTTGCTTACTTTCCTTTATTGTTCAGCTATTTATTTATGAATTGACATTTTGCAGCCATGATTTGGATAATATATTGCTCGAGAATCTAGCTGACACCAGGACGTTGACACCAGGACGTTGCAGGCTGTGTTTGAATTAGAAGCTCTTGTTCTGACAGGTACTGTTTGTTATATTATGAAGAGCTTATTACAAAATTACCTGAAAGTTAGTGAAATTACAAAAAACCTACTTATTTTCTAAATTATGAAAAGCTTCTTGAGGTTTGTATATACCTTACAGTAAAAGCCTTCTGATTGCTCTTGAGGAGGTACCTTTTTTAGATTACAGACCTCTATTTGTTTAATAAATTTTATGTTCTTTATATTACAGTGGTTATCTTAATTATCCCAATATTAGTTTTGATAATCAGTCGATCTTGCTATGAACAAAAAAAAAAAAATCCAGGTCATTGCTCCGAGAAAGATCATGGACCCCCGCTAGGTCTTCAACTGATTCTTGGATCTAAAAATACTCCCCACTTGGTTGATACCCTTGTTATGGCCAATTTGGGTTACTGGCAAATGAAGGTCTTGCCTGGGGTCTGGTATTTGCAGCTTGCTCCAGGAAGAAGCTCCGAGCTTTACCTTATGAAAGAAGACAGTGATGGAAATGAGGGGACATCTTTGTTGAAGCGAATCGTGATAGATGATTTGCGAGGTAAAGTTGTTCATATGGAAGTTATTAAGAAAAAGGGTATGGAACGAGAGAAGCTGTTGGTTCCTGCTGATGAAGATGGTCATTCTTCTGGCAAGAAAGTAAGAAATTATAGGATTAACATCTATTTGTGTTTTCCTATTTGTAATGTCTGAAAAGACAGTATTTTACTGAGTTGAGAGTCGGATTATGATCATTTTATCCTATAAATGACTAGGGAGCTGAGAACATCTGTAATTCAAATATCCTTAAATGGGCTTTTGGATTTATCGGCAAGAAAGACCACTCAAAGAAGGGGGAGAACAATTCCTTGGTGAGACTTACAAAGAACAGTAGTAAAGAGTATTTCTATATGCATAAGTTTGTGTATTCTTGCTTTAGCAAAGAGTGCATTATTGACAGATTTTTTTTTTATTTTAAATTTTTTTGTAGGAATCTGGAAGTGGCGGTCGTCGTGGAAAAAAAATAAATATATTTTCAGTTGCCTCTGGACACTTGTAAGTTCTTACATAGCTGCAGTACAGTTGTTTACTGGGGCCATTGAGTATGTCAGTTTACCATTGCAGTTACTTTAGTTGCTTGTTTCTATCAATCTAACTCCATCACAAATCATCCCTCTGCAGGTATGAACGGTTTCTGAAAATTATGATTTTAAGTGTTCTGAAAGATACGGACCGACCAGTCAAGTTTTGGTTTATAAAGAATTCTCTCTCTCCTCAATTCAAGGTTTTATACTTGTCCTTGACCATTTTTTGTAGATCTGTCTTTCTTAATGCTATACTGTTTGCCCATTTAGAATGGACAAAGAATCTTCATTATTTCCATTCTGCAACTGTTCAATGCCTTTTGTGGCAGGATGTAATTCCACATATGGCGAAACATTATGGTTTTGAGTACGAGTTGATCGCATATAAGTGGCCAACATGGCTACATAAACAGAAAGAGAAACAGCGAATCATATGG